GGGGGGGTGGGGTGTTTGTAGATCTAGCTGTCTCATTCCATAGGAGGCAGAAGTTTATATGAGAGGACAAGCAAATAATATTCAGATGGTTTTTAAGTTTGAGTATAGAGAAGACATCGACACAATAACGGGGTCTTTAGTGCAGGGAAGAAGCAAAACGTATAGACAAAAACAACAGATCGAAAGAAAGGAAGTAAGGCCTAGTAGTAGCGCTCTCCAACCACCCGCAATTCAGGGAGTGATGTTAATTAAATTAAGCTCCTGCACACGGGAGACGAAACGATGCGGCTACATAAATATTTCAGAGCTTCTGGCTGAGGCTGCATATCACTGTGGACATCTGTCGCTTCTACAACTGTCAGTTGTAAACTTAACCAATAAAATAAGATTTGTTTTCCCTTTGCATCTGGGGTTTTTTTTTCACTCAGTCCTATATTATGTCCTTTCAAAAGAGATGGTGTTTTGCCCTTAAAATACACCATGTTTATGTTGAAAGGTGGGCGGAGGATGATTAGATCGGGTAGATTGGGAGAGGGAGGGGGGGGGTAGGACAGTAAATTTGTTCAAGAATGGCTGGACATCTCCGACAGATATTTTGTTTTTATCTCTATCAAACTACTGGTATTTTCTCATTTCTCAAAGTTTATATGTTCAAGTATGGCATATGAATGCAAAGCATAAATCAAACCCAACGTGGATTTCTGAAGAGCATGAAAACTTTTGTAAGTCGGACCATTTAATTCCTTCTTCCATCACTCTATTTCTTCTTATAAAAGCAAGGGGGAATGAAACTTTGGTTTATCCGGGGATTGTATGTCACAGCAGATATTTACATTAGTCCTATGACCTCTGCAACATGTTGCCTAGACTTTCTGGGCTCACCAATGTCTGAACCGATACCTAATAAATGGAAACAGTCCAAGGACATTGAAAGCATTATAAGATCCCTTTGACTCCATTCAGATGTTTCCAGCTGGTAAATCGAATGGCTTCTTAACGAGCATAATAACATGTACCACTGTTAGCCTGTAAACGGTGGATTGCATTTTCTGCCTCTTTGATTATTTTTCTTTCCCTGATCACAAACTCATAAAAAACAGAAACAATACTAATTCAGTGGAAGAAATACTTGACTGCACTTCTCATCACTTGTGTTTGAATCCCTGAAGAAAGAATCAAAGTGGGTTAGCTAGATTGTTCGGAGACGTTTACGGTTCATCTATTGATTTTATTGGAGACGAGAGAAATCAAAGTGTTCCAGTGTGAGTAATTAAAAGATGTGTTCGACTTCCCTGACCCAAAAACCTTTATTCTGAATGTGAGCTCTCTGGCCAGGTAAGAATGGTTAACCTTGAAGAGGAACCATTGCCCACTCTATGGAGAAGGCACTGCGCTACACACAACTGTAAACACAGCAACTACATAGCATGCTGCTAAATAAAGAACATTAGTACACTTCTGGTCAGTGTGGTCAGACTAAAACGCCGACCGATCTGCCATATTATGCTCTTATCTCAGGCCTGTAACACAGTAGGCAATTTGTGGGGGTGGGGGGGGGGGGGGGGGGGCTTGACGTTCAGAGATAGTAGAGGGGGAACCCACATTCCGTAGTTTTGTAATCAACATATAGACTTATTACATTTTATACTTCAAGTAGTATAGATACATACACTAGTTCGGGGTCCGTGAATGGTTTAGGTGATTGGGGAAGGGGGAGGGAGGGACTGTCTGGTGAACACGTTCCATGATACGGAGACCGACAAGGAGAGTGATTATAAACTGGACGATACCTGGTCCCAAGACTGCTGGTTCAATAAATAGAAGACTGGGACAAAGGGGAGGGGGGAGGCTGCAGGCGGCCCTGTGGAGCATGAGAGTGTGTAGGGGTAGGTGGACTGGGTATGCCACCACAGAGAGAGAGAGAGAGAGAGAGAGAGAGAGAGAGAGAGAGAGAGAGAGAGAGAGAGGGGGTGTCATAGGCTAGTCGAGTACATGCTAAGTCATGTGGATACTTTTACAACTACCTTTGTTAAGACCGGAATAAATTGAGACTAACATTTTTCAGCTCAAACCTATGCTACTTTCAAGTTTCTACTGAAATCGGCTAAGCCAGATTTCGAGAAAACAAAAGCAGGTATACCACAGTAAGCTTCAACCAGTAAAAAATCAGGCACTTAACGATTTTCTCCCCGCAGCACTTTAACGAAATTCAGATAAGAACACAGCGTTCATTATAATGTGCTCGCCTTCAGCCACGTTATTTTAACCACTTCACTTTCCTGCACTGGTTACACGTCATTAACCCCTTTTCCTACACGTTTCTTTAAAACATTTTGACCTGCAGTGAACATTTGCACTTTCACATATTGCGAAAACGTGTTCGGTGTCGCCTCAAAGACGTTTTCAGTTTGGCGAAATAACGAAATATAAAGGTGTGGGCCAGGGAAAAGGGGAGGGGGTTACGAAAGTTTGTATTATATGACGAATTAGCACGAGGCCTGTCAAACTCAGTCTAGTATAAATACGCACGCACACACACACACACACACACACA